TCTCTCTCTCTCTCTCTCTCTCTCTCTCTCTCTCTCTCTCTCTCCCCTTTGGTGGTGTAAGGAGGAGGCAGGGTAGGTGTAGGTAAGTGTAATTTAAAATCCTAATCTTGTCCTTTGAAAGGGAGCCGCACTCTCCCAAGCCCTGCACAGTGCAGGCAAGTATGACAGTAGTATCAATATGCTATTAGTAGAAGATAGATGTGCTCACCAAGCTCAATAAGCTGCAACAGCTCTTCAAGTTTCCCTTGTATCATTGTGCATTCTTTCCGTGCTGTAGCTAGTTCAAGGGTGGCCTCTGCTGGATGACGCCATCTTTGCCACTGCAGAAGTATGGTTGGCTTATTTTCTCAGGTGTTAGGCGGATTTCCATGAAAAGATAGTTTGTAAAATCAATTAATTATTTATTTATTCCGGAATGCTGTATCAGATTTCTGAATATCATGAGTTTGTGCAATTTCAACCTTTCAATTGCAAAAACTGCAAAAGAAGGTGACCTTTGCAGTTTCACTTGTTGTTCGAAGTTTGTTTGGGCTCCGTGTTCCCAAAACCCCCAAATAAGATACCTGTTTGGTAGCTAATATACAATATGAGATGGGTTTGAGATCAAGAGACACTAGAGAGGTATAAGAATATGGGTTTTGCAGTTTTAATACTTATGTGAATGTGAATAGCAAAACTTATATTCCAATACTGTTACAGTTGACACAATTGAATGTAAAATCTAGTATCTGGAACATTTATCTCCTAGTCTTGTATTAGTTAACGTATGTGCTTTTGTACTTTCTACTTATACCTGAATAGACATTCTTAAATTTTAGGAGTAACTTTATTAGTTATTGTCATGAGACTTAGACTTACTATTTTTTAATTGCTATTTTAATTTCTTGTCATTTTTTCATTTACTAATTTTTTTTATTAAGTTTTTTTCATTTACTAAATTAATTGGGTTTTTTCTCTTCTTGTTGTGAAATACTAGTATTAAATTACTTGGGGTTTTCTTCGCAATTTTTTTCAAATGTCTATTCTGAGTCCTAATTACGTTTTAAGACCACTGCACTAGGCTGGACTTCGCAGTGACAGTTTGGGACAGGGATATGGGAACCTATGGGATATTATTAAGTAGGAGTCTGATTTGGGATTTCTTGTGAGATATCTGTCCCTCACCCGGACAGAGCTGATGCATTCTTCCTTTTTTTATCTCTTGATTTATAGATACAATATTGCTTTCAGTTTATGCACAACCATCTTAGTTCTAGCGTAAATAGAACTAGCAACCTCGTTGAAAGCACAAACTTTTATTTTCTTTTGGAAGGGCTCATTTCTGCAGTTCTCTTTGTTGCATCATGTACCTATATCTTTATGCCATAGTGGTATCTCAGCTATGGGGCTGGAGGGTTCTTTCATTGAGGTTGCTATGCGCGTAGTTCCAAGTGAATATATTCTACTTCTTTCAATGTAGTTCAAGGTGGAATGCAATACTGAGAAGAAAATTGCATCTGTGTTGAAGTCATTCTTGGAAACATCCATGTTGGTAGAGAGTGAAGAGAAGCTACGACGAAAACTCTTTGATCTTCTGCAGGTGTAGTATACATTGCATTGATGTCCAGAAGTCTAATTTTGTCTCTTCTCGTATATACAAATTTATGCTTTTTCTGCATTGATGCTTATTCTACAACTGATGCTTGTCTTTATATTCATCCTCCCTACTTTATCACAGAATGTAGCTCTAATTAAGGATCCAGAAGATCTGAGAAAGTTTTACCCTCGCTTCAATATTGAAGACACGAAAAGCTTCAAGGATTTGGATCAGCACAGGTAGCTCAAGTGTTTATCTAGTTTGCACTATCTGATCTCAGATTGATAAACTGCAGTAACTTTTTCAAAGTAAACTTCACTGCCTATCCTTCATCCATTTAGATGTCTATACCTTCCTCTCTGCATGTGAAGAATAATAGGGTTTTAGCCTCTATTTTCTGAGGGAATTATGCTAATTCATCCGGTTTCTTATGATCTGTTTACTATTGCAGTCAAAATGTCCTAAAAAAATTGTACTATGATTACTACTTCCAGCGACAAGAAGGTCTTTGGCGTCAAAATGCTTTGAAAACTCTGCCTGTTCTTTTGAACTCATCAAATATGCTCGCTTGTGGGGAAGACCTTGGCCTAATTCCTTCCTGTGTTCATCCTGTATGCTACTCAGTACCAACAGTCCTCCGGAATCATACTTCATTGTTGCTTCACTTCTTGCATCATTCAAATTTTCAATTTGAATGATGACCACTTTGATGCAGGTGATGCAAGAATTGGGCTTAGTAGGCTTACGCATTCAACGCATGCCAAGTGAACCTGGTCTAGAATTTGGTATTCCTTCTCAGTACAGCTACATGACGGTAAAATCCTCTGAGATTTTTGCTACTAAATCACAACTTATTTTAATGGAAGTTAGTTTTATTTTTTTGAGAATGGTAACATGTATAAATCTATATATGAAAGAAAGTAATGCACTAAGGCAGTGCAAAGCAAAAATTACAGGGTAGCAAAAATCAAAGCTAGATCACCTTGGATCACAAAAAACCTAACATGTCAACTAAGGATTCTGTCTCATTTACATAACTTTCTTTACACCAAAAATGAAACAAAAGAATACAATTCATCTTGACTTCCTGAAATTGTATTTGTCTTCAAAAACTCTTAAGTTTCTCTCCATCCAAATTGTCCACCATATGCGAGCTGGAACTAGTCTCCTCCATTTCTTCTGTCTCACAGACCCTCAATTATAATTCCAACACTTAAAAAATTCACTAGTGGTTTCTGGCATAGTCCTTCTAAAACCCAAAATATTGGGAAAGAGTTGACAGTTGAACAGAAATAGGGCAATGCATGAATAGATGGCTATTACTCTCCCTGTTTGCCTTACACATTAGACATCTAGAACATAGCTGAAGGCCTCTTCTTTTAAGATTTTCTTGAGTAAGACAAGAGTCTCTTGCCACTAGCCAAGAAAAACAGACCACCATGATGGGAGCTTTGACTCTCCAAATATACTTCCATGGCCACTGATCTACAAGTTGACCGGTCATTAAGGATAAAAGATAAGCAGATCTGACAGTGAAAATCCCATTCCTACAATTATTCCAATGTAAAGTATCGTCTGTGAATCCTTGAAAAGTCTCCCCAGTGTTAAAGAATTCCCCAACTCTCTCAAGTTCCCAATCGGTTAACTATTTTCTAAAAGTGACGTTCAACTCTTGCTGACCCTTAACTCCTTCTAGATTGGCTGTAGGTTCTGTTGCAATGCTGTAAATTCAGGGAATACAATTCTTTAAGTGGACCATGTCCCAGCCAATTATCACTCTAGAATAGAGTTTTCCTTCCATTTCCCAACCTTATCCACCCTTTTCAGTTTTCTTATTTTCCCTAGCGATGGATGCATTGATGCGCCATATTCAAGGGGAGGTGCCATGGTGTATGTTATTCGCATACGACATTGTACTGATTGACGAGACGCGAGGTGGTGTCAACGAGAGGCTGGAGGTTTGGAGACAGACCCTAGAGTCTAAAGGTTTCAATTTGAGCAAGACTAAGACCGAATACTTGGAGTGCAAGTTCAGCGCCGTGACCGAGGAAGCAAACATGGACGTGAGGCTTGATTCACAAGTCATCCCCAAATGAGGAAGTTTCAAGTATCTTGGGTATGTTATCCAAGGGAATGAGGAGATTGATGAGGATGTCACACATCGTATCGGAACGAGGTGGATGAATTGGAGGCTAGCATCCGGCGTCTTGTGTGATAAGAATGTGCCACCGAGGCTTAAAGGTAAGTTCTATAGAGTGGTGGTTAGAACGACTATGTTGTACGGGGCAGAGTGTTAGCCAGTCAAGAACGTATGTTGAGATGGATATGCGAGCATATGAGGTTGGATAACATTAGGAATGATGATATTCGGGTAAAAGTGGGAGTGAATCCGTGGAGGACAAGATGCGGGAAGCGAGGTTGAGGTGATTCGGGCATGTGAAGAGGAGAGGCATAGATGCTCCAGTAAGAGGGTGTGGGCGGTTGGTTTTGGTGGGTATGAGAAAAGGTAGATGGAGGCCAACGAAATATTGAGGAGGTGATCAGGCGGGACATGACACGACTTCAACTTACCGAGGACATGACCCTTGATAGGAGGGTAGAAGGCTAGTAGGTAATCGAACATTTTTCGTTGCTGTACCGGTGGTATTAGTGTTAGTTTGTTAGTTTTTCTTGTTCTTAGATTGCTATTTACCTGCTGTTTTTTCATTATCTTTCGCTTCGGTTTCTTGGTATCTTGCTATTGGTACTGTTTGTTGCTACTGCTTCTTTCCATCTATTTTTCTGGCTCTTAGATTGCTCTTGTTATGTGCTGTTCTCTCACTATCTTTCGCTTTGGTTTTCTCAGTATCTTGTTGTTGTTATTGCTTGTTGCTACTGCTTCGTTTCATCTTTCCTGAGCCGAGGGTCTATCAGAAACATCATCTCTACCTTCTCCGGATAGGGGTAACGCCTGCGTACACTCTACCCTTCCCAAACCCCACTGGGTTTGTTGTTGTTGTATCCTGCAATTTGTAGCCAGAGAGTTCGAGTGCATTCTAATGGATTTCCAAACACTCGTGACTCACCCCATAATGACTATTGACAGACCTAGTGCACTACTGTCCATCCTGACTATGATAACTCTTCTCCATAAGGCATTAGTCTCCAGATTATACCTCTATAGCCACTTCAAGAGAAGGCTTTGTTTGTGTGCCTTGAGGTTCCTGATGCCCAGCCCCCTTGTCCTTTACTAGTGATGAGAGTGTTCCAATTAACCAGATGGTTGGCATTCTTATCTCTATTTAATGGAATTCCTCCTTAATGCATCAATTCTTTATCTTACCTTACAAGGTTAACCAAAATGAGCCTTAGATGTTTTAGTTGGTCTGCATCAACATCATAAAAAACCAGTGAGTTATCTGCGTAAAGGAGATAAGTGATTTCTATGCTACTCCCTTCCCTGTTAGAAGTTTAGAAACCCTTCAGCCAGCCATTACCTTGTGCCACCTTAAGCATCTGATTCAATCCTTCTATTACAATGAGAAAGAGAAAAGGTGACAGGGCATCACCTTGTCCCAGACCTCTTTCGATGAGAAAAAACCTTCAGGGGAACCATTCATGGAAATTTTTATTGTTTTGATGCAAAAAGATATCCATTGTCACGATCCAAAATCTACCTAGTTGTGATGGCACCTAACCCAACCCACTAGGTATGACAACGACAGTTACAAAATTTTCATGAAAATAACAAGAGATCAATAAGTGAAATAACTGAATTTCTATACAATAACCCAATGATTGGTAGTACAAGTCATGAGTCACTAAGACTTAGATTTACAAAGTTGGTATGAAAATAAATAACATCTGGTTGGAAACTTGGAATATGCATAAACGGAATACAAATCTAAAACTACCAAGGACAAGTGGTAGCTATGTCCGGAAAAGCAGCTACATCTTCAATGCCAGCTCCCGGCAGCATCATCTCCAAGATCTGCACGCAAGGTGCAGAAGTGTAGTATGAGTACAACCGGCCCCATGTATTCAATAAGTAACAAATCTAACCTCAGGCTGAAAGTAGTGACGAGCTTGGAAGAAGGTCAATGTCAAACACCAATAATCCATATCAACTCAGAATATAATGGAGATAGTAAAAGTAAATAAACTCAAAGATATCATGTTCAACTCGTTCACAATTACGGAAAATTCAGACATGCTTTCCAAGTATGACAGATCGTTGGGTACTCGGATGCTGTTTGGGCAGGATCACCTTCTGATAGATGTTCTACTTCTGGATATTGTGTTTTGGTAGGAGGTAATTTGGTATCTTGGAAGAGCAAGAAACAGAATGTGGTTGCTCGGTCTAGCGCAGAAGCAGAATATCGAGCTATGACTATGGCAACATGTGAACTAGTTTGGATCAAACAGTTGCTTAAAGAGTTAAAATTTGGTGAAATCAGGTCAAATGGTATTTGTGTGTGATAATCAAGCTGCCTGTCATATTGCGAGAATTAAACACATTGAGATTGACTGTCACTTCGTCATAAAAAAGATACTCTCAGGAGATATTTCTACAAAGTTTGTTAATCTTATCTGCAGGACCTCTAACTTTGATTCTTGCCCACTTTAGGAGATTTTTCAAGATAGTCTCCTCCTTTGTTTCTAACTTTAACCTATTTCCATTATTATCTCTGTAGACCAGAGATGAAGAGTCAGGCCAATGACCCTGATACACAACCAATCAATGACTGAACGCGCTGGCGCCAGCATTTCAGTTTGAGAGGCTCTTGCTTCTACCTCCAGTCGCCGAGCATAACTTGTTCTGCTATCTTCCTGTTGGGGAATTCAAAAAGAAATTCCAGCTCATTTAAATCATAGATCTAGACTCCGAAATCAGATTTCCATTTCTCCGCTGCCCATCTGCGTAGATCCGAGCGAGTGGGACTTCAGTCTTTCCAGAGAAACTCCCAACCAGGCACCTGCCAAGTATATCATTATCAGATATGGCTTCAGAACCGGAGATGTTGATGCACTCATTCTTCTGCTCGAAGCTGATGTTCCTTCCCTAGTTTCCCATTTGCTTTGGGCAATCGTATCAGCATAAGAATTATTCATCTTCTTGGGTTGACTCACTACATGGTTAATCCCACCTTCAAGAACAAAATTTTCGATTTTTCCATCTATGACTCCCCATCCCTTGTTTGGTGACAGTTCAGGAACTTTAGTGACTGATCTCCTCTCGCCAAGTACTGCCATGATACTAATGAATCTGCCATATTTGTTGTACTTTTGAGAGCAATAATAGTTGTGTAAATGGTCATTAACTTCCAACTTTTATACTTGTATCCTTATGCCCCTGTCTCCATGTCATAAATCACAAATGCATAGCAGAACTTTCTTACTAACTGTTATCCTACACATTAAATTCAGCTCTCTCCACCTGGTCATACCACAGAACTGAACCAGAAAAGTTCTCTGTGATATCAAAAGATTTGTCCGCCACCGTGAAAAGACCCTTTTGATCTTGTTTGCATGTTCACGAACCATGTTTTTAATCGATCTGACGACATTGAAGAAAACGCAGTTCCTCCAGTAACCTCCGGTGACCTGAATTGCTCTCAGAAAAAGATTTAAGACCTCACCTCATAAACTGTGCCTGAGAGCATTTTTCATTTTTTTAACTAGTGCATATATTTTGATAAACCAAATCAAATTACTTGAACGACGAAGGACCAATGGACGTTAGTCTTATGTGGAGCAGTTTCTATGATAATCTACTGTACAAGCCTTTTTCTGTAAAAATGTAAAACATGCTTAACTTATTAAGCAAATATAATCAAACCATGACAGAAATATAAAAAGGCTGAACAATTTTATGATGTTACCTTAGGTACTCAAATTGAATCTGAGCATTTTCTTCATGTGATTATACATTGTGTTGCTATAAAATTTGTCCAAGTGCTCCCTCTGGCTGTAAGAAAACAGCACCTGGGGGCTTGACAAAACTCTTAATTGTTACTCCTATTCTCTGTCATTCTACCTTTTAAATGAAAACATACTGATGGACTGGAAGTCTGCTCAAAGTCAATGGAAACTAGATGCAAACACTAATCTTGCTTAACATGAAAAAAATTTGAAAGAACTAAATATTGTTCTGCTTTTAATGCTTACTCTTCGGGATATATTGGATGAAAATTGTCAAGACACCTTTGAATTTGCTTCCTTTTTCTTCTATGGAAGCCTTGTAAGACTTTTAGGAGTGCTTTTGTCATCTAAGTAATTTAATGCATACTAGTCCTTGTTGCCTAAAGGCTAGCCAAATAAAGTTTGCTACTTTTAAACTCAGGTTTGTGCTCCATCATGCCATGACTGTTCCACTCTACGTGCTTGGTGGGAGGAAGATGAGGAGAGAAGGCACCGCTTTTTTCAAGCAGTCGTGGGATCCGATGAGTTGCCACCTGATCAATGCACTCCTGAAATTGTGCACTTTGTCTTGCGGCAGCATGTTGAAGCTCCATCGATGTGGTCAATCTTTCCGCTCCAGGTACTTCATTGATATATAGATCCTGCCACTCTTTTTGTAGCATGTACTTGATGCTTGATTAGTAGTTAGTGCTAAATTGGCTCGCTCACATGCCTCGAAGCTTCATAACACTGGTGCAGCATGGTGATTAGTGGGTTCTATGTTCTTTCAATAATCCCTTAATTCCTTCTAAAGGCATTAGCTTGCTAGGCTTCTAAAGGATAATGCCCTTTTGTCCCAAGACTAAGTTGCTCGGACACGGGTGCGGATCCTACTAGATGTAAATTCTGAAATCCGGGGGTATGGATCATAATACGGATACGGGTGCAGGGATCCGGCTAAAAATAATTCAAAAAAATAAAAATATAAAAATATCTCTAGATTATGAGAAATTTTGTGGAATACTTGCGTATATTTTGTAAAGTGTGAATTTCTTTTTTATTCTCAAGTTGTAGATAAGTAAATGATTGATTTCCTAGATATGGTATGCTATTTTCTTCAAATTTACCATAGTTGTGGTTCTGATTTCGGGAATCAAATTGTATCTCGTCTCGAATTTTTCCGTCTGTTGTGGTGAAAGTACCCAAAATTGTCTGACCAAATCCTGTACGGATCCCATACCCACACCCACACTAGTGTCGTGTTGACATGGGTGCGGCACCTAAACTGCCGTGTCGGAGCAACTTAGTTCCAAGAGCAAGAGCAAGAGCAAGAGCAAGAAAAAGTCAAAATTCCTTTTCTTGGAAGCTTTTAGCTAATTTCGAACAATCAAATTCAATTTGGAAAGGATGGTGATGCAAAGATCCTACGTAATAAATTAGTTATCCCCACCCACCACCCCCAAAAGAAAAAAACTTTCTAAACAAATTCGTTTGATTGTTCACCATATTGACATCTTACGACTTTTTAGCTCTACAAAAGAGATGGTGATTTTATTTCTCGGAATGGATGTTTTTAAACAGTTAGGAAAGCATAGATTCTGTAGCTCTGTGGAAATGGTTGAATGGTTGTGTTTCGTCTACCGGCGTTCAAAAAGTTAGAACTATGTACTTATTCAAGTGCGCATTGAAATGCATGGATATTTAGTAGTACTTATGTTTAGTCAGGGCTACTAAACCACTTTGTGACTAAATATGCCACTTAATGAGCATCTTTTCTGTTCTACTCTCAAGCAGTCATGAGAAAAATTAGGTGGTTGTTTTTCATGGTATCATTTCTTGTGAAGCATGTGATCTTGACATTGTGCTTTCCACTATTTGCAATTTCTTTTATGATGTTAATGAGCTGCCCAGCAGGATTAATGTTTCAATGCTCATCTCAACGTTCAGTATTTTCTTCCACGGCACTGACAAAATTGCAACATAATGAACAGGATTTGCTAGCACTCAAAGAAGATTACACAACGCGGTCTGCAGTGGAAGAGACAATCAATGATCCAACAAACCCAAAACATTACTGGCGATACCGTATGTGCATTCGTCCTCTTTGTTGTCTCTCTGTCCACCCACCCAACTCCCAAAACAGAAACATAAGAGGAAACTTACCTTTCTTGTATATCTGTGATTTGATCAAAACTAAAGTTAATCAGGTCTTTAAATTAAAATGTACAGAAAAATGCTGGGTTGTGTTACATGTTCCTGATAACAGTTCTACAACATACTTCACAATGCTTGATCCCTTGTCCATACAGTCAAATCAATTTTAACTCGTTTTTGTACTTTGAAGTGTTTAAATGAGAAGAGAAACTTGGCCGTATTATTAAATCCACCTTTATAGTAATAGTAGCTGACTCGTCCAAATTTAATTTGCCTTATACATGTAAGCACAGTTAGGACATGTATTGTTTGCACCTGGACTAAGTCCTTGCAAATACTGTTCTGCAGAAGAGAAGTCCTCAATAACTAGACTCCAAGTTTCTTATGGTGATTCCAACTTATCATCCTATATAGGGCACGTGTTGTGTATCCTCACTTTTTCTTTTTCAAGATTTTGTCTTGACCATCTACCCAAAGTCATTTCTTGCTATATGCATGTATAATCACATTTTTATTTTCAGTCGAACAATTAAAAGAATGTCTGTGAACTTATGTTCACCAAGTAATTACTAGTAAAGGTCTATTTTGTCAAAATCACAATCTGGATCGTAGGACTCTACAATCTTATTATCCTAGTTCATGAAAGATCTGGATTGCTAGTAGGATTGAAAGAGGTATGCTCAAAATAGGGTCATAATAAAATTTCAGAGGAACTAATAAAATTTCGTAGGATCATACAGTATCATTAGTACTACCACTCTTATTTTATTTTGGCATGATGATTATATGAGTTGAGCTAAAAGAAAGAAGTGAGGATTCATATCGCCAATCCCAACTTTGTTTCGGACTGAGGCGTAGGTGTTGTTGTTGTTGTTGTTGTTATACAGTATCATAAGTAGGACTATAGGATCCTGATGAAACTCTTAATTCTTCCAATTTTGAGTCCTCTTCTTTTTTTAAATATTTTTTTAATCCTTTATAAAGAAAATGTAATGTTTTAATGCATGTAGCTATTAAATACATTACCATAAAACAGTTATCTTATATTAACAACATGATTAACCCAGCTGCATTACATTTAACTTTATTAGTACTTCTCTTTAGAAGTCCATTATTCATGTGATACCATATACATCTTCTGTTGGTGATCTGTTTCCCGGGCTACATTATCATATTCTGACTACACTTTTATGTTTATATTAAAAATTGACTCAGTTTAAGTTAATATTCAAGTATAACTGCATTGTAGTTATTTGATATGTTACTCGGACTCTTCAAAAATATTGCTGGGTGCGTGTCGGATCCTTCAAATTTAGTACATTTTTGGAGGATCCGACAGGGTTGCGGCAGCACTTTTGGAGAGTCCGAGCAACATAGGTTATTTCTATCTACTTTTGAAAACATTTTCATGAGTGTATGAATAATTAGTATTACTACTTTTTTATCTTCTTTTTTGAAAAAGGTAAATTAGTATTACTACTACTTATACTCGACTACTACTGCTTCTGCTGCCTTTTCTTCTTTCCTCATCTTTAGTCATTTTCCTGTTAATTTTAGTTCTATTAGCTTGATACTTGAGAATGTTACCGTGAAGGTTTATTAAATCAATACTCGAAGTTAACCGTGGTGAAAATTTCTATATGGGATAGTGAAATGAATATTTGATTGGAAAACCTTATTTTCTTCTTTTTTCATGCTGTAATACTTCTCTTTAGAAGTTCTACTAATTTTTTAGTATTTCTCTTTAAAAAGTCTATAGTTTGTGTGATTAGCACTATTAAAAGTTTTTCCTGCATGATCAGCAATAGTTTGACTTTCTTTTATTGACTAGGTAAACTTCATAAAAAGTTTCTTTAAGAGCTCATAGAATTACCTTCTTGTAGGTTTACCCAAAGCCCCTCCTTGAATAGGTAAGACACATGTTAATTATCTATTGAAGCCTTTTGATTTATAGGGTGGTACTGATATTGTCTCTTTTTGTCTTTTTGTATTCTTGAGCCGAGGGTCTTTCAGAAACAGCCTCTCTAGGGGTAAGGTCTGCGTACACACTACCCTCCCCAGACCCCACTAGTGAGATTTTACTGGGTTGTTGTTGTTGTACCGCGGTATAACAATTTAGAACATTTTGTTTCCTACAAGTAAAGAACTCCCTTAAGCGGTATCCTAGCGAGGTATATTGGCATGAAGAAAAAAACATCTTTGAATCATAAGCTTCCCTCCACCGAAGACTTCTCATCTCATAACAATTTATTTTATACACTATCTGAAAGATAACAAGTATAGTTTCTTTCTTTATCACTAAAATTTCCCTTGAATAGAGGTTGCTTGTATAAATATCTGGAAATACTACCTTCAATGAAGAAATAGGTGACCCAAAATTACCTTAACGCTAGCTTTAATTAATTGGTTGTAGCTATCTTCCCAAAAGAGAAGTAATTGGCTGTAGCTATTAATTATGGGACATGGAGAAAGAAGGGGCAAACTATGAACCGGGGAAAGCCCCATTTCAGGTATCGGTTAAGTTATAATACGAACCACTGAGCATTGATTTTATCTAATTAATGGGCATCAATTAAGATATTATGTGAACCATTGAACATTGATTTTACCTAGGGGTGGGAAAACTAACCCAAACCCATTTGACCCGCCCAACCCGTCCAAGTTTTAATGGGTTTGAGCTGGAACATTTTTGAAGGTGGGCTGTTTTGGGCTAGTCCAAGTTAACCCATAAAAAATCATCAGCCCAAACGGACCCATGATGATGCCCAACCTTGACCCATGGAAATGCTCAATCTTAAAGTTCTACCTTGACCATGTTCTGGAGAATATTTTCTAATTTTCCCATGTTTGGTTGGTTTAAATGTTTGAAAAATATTTTCTTTATGAATTTGTTTTTCTCCAATTGGTGGAAAATATTTTCTGTATCAAGAGAAGGGAAAACATTTTCCAAAACTTTTTGTTGAAACAAAAGAAAATATTTTTTCTACAACATGAAAAGAAAGTACTCATTTTATGAAAAAGAAAATAATGTTTTTACATCATAAGAAGAAAGTATTTATTTTATTAAAATGAAAGAAAATATTTTTTCTACATCATAAGAAGAAAATTTACATTTTGTTAAAATGAAAAAGAAAATACTCTATCTACAACATTAAAAAAAAAAAATAATTCTACAACAGGGAAAAAAGTACTTATTTTGTGAAAAAAGAAAATACTTTTTCTATATCATAAAAAGAAAGTACTTTTTTGTTGAAACAAAAGAAAATACTTTTTCTACAAAAAGAAAGTACTTATTTTATTTAAATAATATTTTTATTTAGGGTGGGGATGGGGTTCGGGGTAGTGTTGGGGTTGGGGTGGGTGAAAAGTTCTAATTTTGCTACTTTTTATTATTCTGATCTTTGTTATTATTATAAGATGAAGAACTATCAAATAAAATTCTAAATCCAAACTGAGGAAAGAAATCATTTGGCGTGAATTGATATTTTTTTCAAAACATAAGATAATTTTTATATATGATTGTTTAAAAGTTGAGAATATTGCAAAGATTTGGGTCAATTTGGGCGGGTTGGGTTACAACCCATTGTTTAGCCCATCTTGACCCAAGTGTACTTTGGGTAATGAGTCAGCCCAGCCCAGCCCAAATACAGCCCAAACAGCCCATTTGCCACCCCTAATTTTATCCAATTTTCTTATTATCATTTTTTTAAATTTAAATAGATTTCAGATCACAAGTATCAAAAGTCAGTGGTTCTTCTTCCATGCAATTTGTTGTGTCTCATTAAACTTATATGATCTAAGAGGGTAAAATTTCATCTTGAGAGTCAGGTGTCACGCATTATGGGTGTGTCACGTTTACCTACCGGTCACCTACTTGGCCATAGAATCCCAGGAACCCCTACCTCAACATTATTAGTTGATCTTTTAGAGGACTTTTTAGGGAAAGAAAGAATTTCTGCAAGCCTAAATTCTATCAGAATCTTAATGGAGCCCTTGAACTTATCCTTGAATCTTGACTCACATGGCATTCACTTTTCTGACGGTCAAGAAAAGCATAGGTTAATACTACCATATGCTAGTGTTAGGTGCTCTTCTTGAACCTAAAATAAGTTGCAGAATATATCAGCGGAACAAATCTGACCACTTTGTTGAGAATCAGTTATTTGTATTAGAATTGCGATTTGTAAATTTGTGGTATATTCATGGTTATTTTAGCAAAAACTAATAATTTTTCATATGTGGTGTTTTGTATATTTGTTTTTGAGAATGATAACAGAATATGTTTGTATATTCGTCAATTTACTAAGTAAAATAAACTAAAGAAAACATTATAATCTTTTAAATGATGTGTTTAAATTCAAATTGTAACTATTTAGTAAAACTGTTTTTTTTGGTTAAATAAAGTTGTGAATGTTCATACGAAGTAATGTATTGATATCTTGCATCACACTGCTCTAATTAACCCAAAAAAAGGGGTTTTTTCCTTACTAAAAAAGAGGTGTAACTACATAACACCTAAAGGTGTGGCCTAGTGGTTAATGAAGTGAGGAAAATCAGGAGGTCTCAGGTTCAAAGCCTAGCAAGGCCAAAAAACACTAGATGATTCTTTCCCATCTGCTTAAGCTTTGTTTGACAGAATTACCCGGTACCGATGCTAGTGGGAGGTAGTAGGTACCCTGTAGAATAGTCGAGGTGCGCCAAGCTCGCCGGAAAGCCACCAACATAAGAAAGTAAAATGAAAGAAATATAGGTTTAATTGAATACTTGCAAATTTGAATTAAAATGCATCTCAAACTACGTTTCACATCATTATGATATGTATTTTGTTTTTCTTCTATTTTTTAACAAAAAAAAAATAATATGCTACATCTCAATGTTGGAGAGATCTCTATTAAGATTAAATAACTATAGATCAAGAAAATACCACATTTTTATCCAAACTCTTGATCTGTGCTATAGCTTTGAAACTTTAATTTATCATCTGGTTGCATTTAAGTTCTCTTCATGGTATGATTTAAAACTTTTAGAAAGCCCCAATAATTTTATTTTAGATTCAATAAAGCTCTGGTCTTTCTTTGGTACTATGAAAACTCCTCCTTGATTATACTCGTTGAAGAGCTTAGGTGTTACCAAATGGAAAATTATAATGCCAGATGAGTTTTGAAATGAGTTAGGGGATTTTGTTGAGAATTTGAGAGAATTTAAAGCAGTCTATAAAGTCTTTTTCCCATATTATGAAAGCGGTATTATTTGGTTTCATTTTTATCTATTCGTGCACAAAGTTGTACTGTGATTGCTTAAGTTGGATTTCTCCTACTCGATACAAAAAGAACTGGATGGTCTGCCAGCCTTTATTATTTGATAAACCGACTTGGTTGTCAAAATTTAGGACAAATTGATATATAAGCAACTGGAACAAGAACCTATTCGAGTTCTTACTAGTACTGCGTGAAACACCATCAGTGCCTGGAATAGTCTACTTTAATATTCTTTTTTTGGGAATGAAAGTGATTGGTAGAAGTGCAATTTAAGATGCTAAAAGTGTATCTATGCAGAACTGGCAAACTTTTACCACAGTATAGACCGGTACAGAACATACTTTTTGTAACTAGTATATTCNAATATTCTTTTTTGGGAATGAAAGTGATTGGTAGAAGTGCAGTTTAAGATGCTAAAAGTGTATCCATGCAGAACTGGCAAACTTTTACCACAGTATAGACAGGTACAGAACATACTTTTTTGTAACTAGTATATTCTCCTTGGCTTTCAAGGCGACTCTTCAATACAATAGGATAGAAGTTTTAAGAGTTTTGGCTGCTTTTGCTGATAGCAAATTTGGAAAGATCTGCAATGTTCTCTATGATGAATGTCTTCTTTTGCAGTGTCCTTCAGGTAGGAATGCTTGATTCATATAGAATACGTTGCTCTTGCTTGTGGCTGCTGGTGTTACATGAAACAAGCTACTGCAAATATAATGAGATAAAAAGGATGACAACGTGAATTTGTCTGTTAAATAGTGCATGCAGGGCTGCACATATTAATTTAAACTAATACTGTAAATCTAGTTTCAAATTTGAATTTAATTGTTTGTGGAGCATATTGCGGTGAACTTATCAAAGACATCAATGTGGATAGAAGTGCAACAAAGCTTCACTAGCAATTTGTTTACATTTTTGTTCCAATGGCTTACTCTACCGTCAACTGATAGGGCAATTTTGCTACATACTGATGATAGGAGATTTTTTTTTTCCATCTTGTTCTTACTCTTCTTTGCTCTCAGGTGTACATGTGACGATGGAATCCTTGCTTGACGATAAAGACCTCATGAAAAAAATAAAGGATCTNACTAATACTGTAAATCTTGTTTCAAATTTGAATTTAATTGTTTGTGGAGCATATTGCGGTGAACTTATCAAAGACATCAATGTGGATAGAAGTGCAACAGAACTTCACTAGCAATTTGTTTACATTTTTGTTCCAGTGGCTTACTCTAGCGTCAACTGATAGGGCAATTTTGCTACATACTGATGCTAGGAGAATTGTTTTTCCATCTTGTTCTTACTCTTCTTTGCTCTCAGGTGTACATGTGACGATGGAATCCTTGCTTGACGATAAAGACCTCATGAAAAAAATAAAGGATCTAGTCCGCGGGAGTGGAAGATGTTACCCTCAGAAGGATCTGGAATCAGGTCAGGCAAATGGTGTAGGATCAGCAAAGCTGCAATTAGGGAGTGAACTCCCTCCACTGGCACAGACAAATATAATTCCCAACAGGGAAGCTGTGGCACTTGTTTGAATATAATATCCTTCGACTTGTAGGTGTTCGTTCATGTCAAAGTTGAAGCAATAAATCCTCCGTAACCCTGCTCCTAATCCCCATCCCTACAACTACCATGTCCACCACACCGTTCAATAGCTTGTCATGCTTCATAATGAACAGTATTTGAAGCTGTATCTCATTATAGCAATAAAAGAATATCATTGTATGGTACTCTTTCAATTCTTTTCAGTGTCTAAATTTGGCACAGCTCTGGCCTGCTTAACAGGACTTACTGCTGTTGCTATTCTGGTTATAAATTCTAGCTTCTTCCAAGAAAAGTCCTTGCAGAGTTGCCCCTTTTTGGGAGCGGGTAATTGTTGGTGATAAATGAGGTAAGGTCATTATATAGATCTCAAGATACAGGCTGTTTGGTGTGATATTGTGATGATTGGAGGTGTTAGAAGCGGATAAGATAGACCTAAAAGCATGTGAAGAGGAATAGTCTGAATAGATGTATAATTTATTGGTTCAATGCATTTAACTAAAAAAAGAACATAATGAAAGCTGAAGATCATAATGGGCTATAACAACTACTCGCTCCACTTCAGTTTTTGTGAAAGCATTTTCTTTTGGTCTGTTTTTAAAAAGAATGCGATCTTTCTAATTTTGAAAGTTCTTAAAGTTAAGCTTTTCATTTTACCCTTAATAAGAAATTTTTATAGTCATACAAATGTTAAGACTATAAGTTTCAAAAGTCTATAACTGAACAAATTTTATAGCATATAAGTTTCAAAAGCCTATAACCGAACAAATTTTATAGTATATAAGTTTCAAAAGCCTTCATTTTATTTAACCTGGTGCATATTCAAATTTTGCCAAATAATTTGAAACAGAGGGAATAGTTAGGGTTAAAACATAGTTATTAAATTTATGTAGATCTAGGTTTGTGAGTAATCTTTACCTGGTTACATATTTGTACATCTTTAAAGTTAAATACTTAAAAGAACCTCTAATCTTTACTTGGTAAAGAACGTCCAACTTCAGAGAACTTTTACCTTACCTTACATGACAAATTATTAAGCATTAAATTTAGAGATTCATGTACCTAATCTAAATAATTTAAGATTTAGGTGTAGAAATTGATTGATTGGCAATTGTTGGTGATGGTTCTTAAAAGACGGCCGAAACAATAAAAGGCATAGTTAATAGTGGGGCTCACGAAAGGCCTCACCATAATAAGAAAATCAATACATGTGCAATAAATGTCATTAAGTAACCTATGTACATGTTTAGATCTCCTATACTGTATCACTGAATCTCTATGATGTATAAAAGATGACTATGTACGGGATAGGTTACCTTTTACTTTATACATGATCTTAAATAATAATATAAAATTATACTTGATCACTTTGCTAGTCCCTTGTGCTCTTAACAGTCATTCACTATAAAAGTCAAATTTTTCTCGGAACCGATCTTTCATGTTATGTTATTATATATGTCCTCTATAACAACACCTCACTATAGCATCCAAAAAATATCGGAACAAACACGACCGTTATAGAGAGGTTAGACTATACAATCATTTATTTCTTGTGGCCAAGATTTTTCAATAATTATACTTTTGGTTACATGACTTTTACTGGCAGTTAATTGTGAGGAATAATTGTAGTTCTCCTATTCTTTCCTAACTAAGTGCTGGCCAATCATTGAAATAGAATATATTTTGGTACAAAAATTCCAAGAAGCAAAGCTCTATTCCACCAAAAAGGTTCTTGGTACCAATCTCAAGAAATTAGATCCCTCTCTACTTTTCTAGCTTTAGATGTTACAAGTTTTTGGAGGTTTAATTACTTTACGAAGCATGGGAAACAATTTTTTTTTGTTGTTGTAGGTGATTGAGATAGTAATACGATAGCCTTACATTTGATAAACTAAATCTTTCAAGAAGATTGACGGAATTATAACAAAGACATAAACAAAGCCCTAAAACTTTTTTTATTATGGTTTTATTATCTTTTTTAAAAAAATTTATTTATTGAAAAAATATTCCTAATAAACTTTAGTTTTCCTATGATTATCTTAATTAGAATTGGTATAAACATCCGGTGCGGGTAAGTTTTTAGTGTGTTCAAATGGAATTGTAGACCGCACCAAACCGAAAAGCCAAATCAAATCGATTTAAAAATCCAATTAGGTTTGGTCTGATTTGGTTTGGTATTGAATAAAAAATCCGAACCAATCCGACATATAAATATATAATATTTTATATATACTTTTAAAACTTTATATAGAATTTTCTTTAAAAAATATCTAAAAATATTTGGGATCTCGTATGATGACTCGATAGGTCATTTTGAGTTTTAGCCTTTATTTCGGTGTTTCAAGACCTCGATTAGCTCTGTTTAGTGATTCTTGATTTGCGTGCACAGTCCGTGTCTTTTTTCGAAAAGTTTTTATGTGAAAAACTGAAGAAAATGCGAATTTTAGCCTTAAAAATGATTTGAGTTGGCTACGGTCAATATTTTATGTAAACGGACCCAGATCGATATTTTAACGATCTTGATGGGCCAGTATAGTGATTTTAGACTTGAGTGTATGCCCGAAATTAAATTTAGAAGTCCCTAACTTATTTTGGCATGATTTGTTGAAAACTAGTAATTTGAAGGTTTAAAAATTTTTGAAGTTTGACCGTAGGTTGACTTTATAGCTATCGAGTTCGGATTTCGGTTCTAGAACTTCGTATAAGTTCATTATATTATTTAAAACTTGTCTGCAAAATTTGGTGCAAAACGGAGTAGATTTGATAGAATTCGGACGCTCAGTTGTGAATTTGCAAGTTCTTGAGTTTTTTAAAAAATTTCATGCATTTTGATATCCGATTCGTAGTGCTAGATGTTATTTTGGTGTTTTAATCACGCGAGCGAGTTCATATGATGTTATTACACTTGTGTGCATGTTTTCTTTGGAGCCCGAGGGGCTCGGGTAAGTTTCGGATATGCTACAGATCATTTTTGAACTTAAGGAATCTGCTGGTTTTGCTGTTGTTGGTGTCTGAGAATTTGTGCTTCGCGATCGCGAAGGGGAAACTTGGGACTGGGGTTTACCCTTCGCGAATGCGACTAGCCTCTCGCGAACGCATAGGGTTATGGGGCATAGGAAGGGAGCTTGACAGTTGCATTTCGTGAATGCAATCATTGGACTGCGAATGCGAAGGCAGGGGGAGTAAGCCTTCGCGAACGCGAAGGCCATTGGTTGCTGCTGCTTTGCAATCGCGTCAGGTCCTTCGCGAACTGATCCCAGTAATTCAAACAGAACCAAAAGTCGGGATTTATCCTATTTTTCACCATTTTCAAGTTTGAGCTCAGCCTAGAGGCGATTTTGAAGAGTTTTTTCATCCCAACTTCACAGGTTAGTAGATTTTAACTTGTTTCTTTACATTTCCATAAACACCCATTGATTTTAACCTTTAATCTACGTTTTTTCCTGATAGAAATTGGGGATTTTGAGAAATTGAGATTTAGACCTCAAATTGAAGTCGGATTTCAAAACCAATTTCATAACTGGGCTCGGGGGTGAATGGGTAATTGGTTTTGGGTCCGAATCTAGGGTTTTGACCAAGCAAACCCGGGGTTGACTTTTGTTGACTTTTTTCAAAAATATTAAAGATTGAATCTTTTTCACTTGTGGGTAGTTTCTAAAGCTTATTTTGAATTATTTGAACTATATCTGGTTAGATTTGATTGGTTTGGAGGCTAATTCTAGAGGAAAATCCGCAGTTGAGCATTGATTTGGTTGTGAAGTGAGGTAAGTGTCATGGTTAACCTTGACTTGAGGGATTAGAACTTGTTGGTCTATTTGCTATGTGTTTTATGTGTGGGGACAATATATATGTGAGGTGACGAGTACCTATGCATTGTCATTGGGTTAAAGTATGCGGGTGAAAATTATTTCTTTGTATTATATTGTTCCTTTAATTATGATATCCATGCTTAGGTTAGATTATTACTTCTTTGATTATCCATTTTTGTATTTATTGCTTATTTCAAAGTTGTTGAATATTTTTGGAAGTTGAAGTTTGATATTATGGCACCATATGTGAAGTTAAATTATTCTCCGCATTGTTTATTATTCGAATTCATATTATCATTATTACATGGTGAGAAAGAGAGTAAAAGCACGAAGGGTGATGCCATGCCATTTCATTCATATTATCATTATTACATGGTGAGAAAGAGAGTAAAAGCACGAAGGGTGATGTTGTGCCATTATATTCATATTATTGCATGGTGAGGACGAGAGTAAAAGCACGAAGGGTGATGCCGTTCCATTTTCATATCATTGATTTGACTGATTTCTGATTTTGGTGATTTACTTGGTTATTTTGTGATTTAATACTTGCCGTATTTATTATATCTTCCCCTTTCTGCATGTCCCCTCCTCGTTAGTACGTTATCATTCTTTGCTATTATTGCTTCTTTATATATATTTGTACAGGTTTATTTATGTAGGCGTCTTGTCATAGCCTCGTCACTACTTCGTCGAGGTTAGGCTCGACACTTACGGATTACATGGGTCGGTTGTACTCATGCTACACTTTTGCACTTCTTGTGCAGATACTGATATTGGTCCCAGTGGTGCGTGAGGTACGTCAACTCAGATCATTGCATACGGAGACTCAAGGAAGATCTGATGGTGTCCGCAGACCTTGAAGTTCCCTTCCATTTACCACTTTTATTGTTTATTTCTTTCGAAACAGTTGTATTTATTTCATACCTTGCTTGTAGACTTCTAGTTACTCGTGTACTCGTGACTCCGTATTTCTGGGAGTAGATATTATTATGTGGTTTTATTAGTATTTTGTTAGACTTGGCTCTTATTTCTCGTTGAATATCATTATTGTATTTTTTAACTGTTAATAATTGGTTAATTAATTATTTCACGCCGGCTTGCCTAGCAGGTGGATGTTAGGCGCCATCACAACCCCAAGGTTGGGATTCTGGTTCGTGACATCTTCTCATAGGATGTAATATTTAATAAAACTATGAAGTGCATCCATTTTTATTTACTTTAAATAATGGATTATATCATCACTTTTTTATCAAGTGTTATTAAAATGTGTCAATATGTTTCTTTTGTCTGTTGGAAAAATAGGAGTTATGTAGAATAAGAATTAGCTTAAGGCGTGTCAAGAACATTGTCCTTAAGGATATTTCGCTCACATAGTGATAAATAAAATTAGGCATATCCCCCATGATTCAACACGCTCTTCCAGTGTTTAAACTAGGAACAAAACTAGTAGAAAATTCAA